CTTCACTTTTCCTACCGGCTTTTACACGGATGAAAACACAGTGACTAAAAATTTGCATTTGTTATATTTCCTCAACTGAGTATTTAAGTTCTCCTGAAGAGAATGAACTGTGGCATTTTCTCTTGTGCTCTTCCTTTCTTCCCTCTTGTCTGAAGTATAGCTGTGAGCACACAGTAGGTGTTAGATATTTACTTAAATGCAGGCGTGTGTAAAGGACAAAATTAGTACTCAGGTGCTGAAAGGACAGCTCCTCCAGGAACATTTCACAGAAGACAGAAAACCACTGTGGGGACGGGGAACCAAGAACCTCTCTTTGGGTAAAACATAAAATCTCAGGCTCCTGCCATTTAGTTAAAGAAATATTATGACCAGCCTCTAAGAAAAGTACAGAACATATAGAACACAATTTCAAACACAGAACCAGGGAAAAGAGAGGGGAGGAGGGATTCCTTTTTCCTTCCCTGCTATGTCCCTCTGGAGAGGAACTAAGGAACCAAACCTCCAGTTGCCGCAGAGTACATTCAGCTCCCCTTCCCTTCCCTGCTCCAGTCAAGACCTGGTTTTAAGTAAGAATCAGGTCACATTGCATTCAGCACATTTTTTAGTTTCTATGGAAGGATATTTCCAGGAATATCAGGAACAAAACCTTATTTCTTCCATTTTTGAAGCCAAGATAGTCTTCTTTCTCAACTGTATGCTTGGAAACTCAATTTATAAGCATATTCTGGTGGGTTTGGGGTACCTGAATGGTATACGCCTCACTCATTTAAAAATCTTACAACTGGCTCGGGCCTCTAGCACAGTGATTATGGCGCCAACCTCATGCACCAAGGCTGGCGAGTTCAAACCCAGCCCAGGCCTGCTAAACAACAACGACAACTACAACAATAACAACAAAAAAATAGCCAGGCATTATGGTGGGCGCCTTTAGTCCCAGCTACTTGGGAGGCTGAGCCAAGAGAATCACTTAAGCCCAAGAGTTTGAAGTTGCTGTGAGTAGTGATGCCACGGTACTCTACCCAGGGTGACAGCTTGAGACTCTATCTCAAAAAAAACAAAAAAAAAGGACATAAAAATCTTACATACATCTAAAAATACATCCAAGAAAAAGAAGTATGAATTAATAATAAACTCAAAATATGCCCTGTTAGAAAACAGACACAACTCTTTTACAAGAGCAACTTTTTTTAATAGCTAGGATATCTCCCAAGATGATAAATTTGGAACCGTACATTTCTCATCTTTCATTAAAATAAAGAAGGCAGGAAGCTCCTGGGTTATTTACATTTGTCATCCATGGAGAGCTAAACCCTACTGCAGATCTACACAGGAAGGATAAAAGTGCTATATAAATGCAAGACAGTTTATATTATCATGGTTACATGTTTCTTGGTCACAATATTTAGTAATTTCCCCTTCTGTTTTGAATAAAGTTTGAAACAAAATTTTCACTTCAAAAAGTGAAATAATAGGAGCCAACCACAGTAGCTCAAGCCTATAATCCTGGCACTCTGGGAGGCCAAGGTGGGTGGACTGCCTGAGCTCACAAGTTCGAGACCAGCCCAAGCAACAGTGTGACCTCATCTCTAAAAATAGCCGGACTCTGTGGTGGGCACCTGTAGTCCCAGCTACTCAGGAGGCTGAGGCAAGAGAATTGCTTGAACCCAGGAGTTGGAGGTTGCTGTGAACTGTGACGCCACAGCACTTTACTGAGGGCAACAAAGTGAGACTCTGTCTCAAAAAAAAAAAAAAAAAAAAGGAATAATATGAAACTAAAACTGAACTTAGTGTCAAGCAGAATGTTATGTCGAAATACACGCCCAAAGGGGAAGTTCAAAAGAGTAACTCTGGGGAAGAGTTGTCAGTGGTTCAATTTTATCCCAAGTCTTTGAAGACTAGGTTCATCAATCGCTTTTATTTTCTGAGTGGTACTAACTGAACTGGTAGACAGAGCGTGCGGACCAGAGACACATCTGTCAGCACTGCCCATGCTCATCTTTATTAAACACTATACCGAAGTTTTATATTTATATTACCAATCTCCCTTATGTGAGGTACAAACACCTCCTTCTCCTGTCACTTCTTATCCCCTGGTACTTATACAGTACAGTGTTTATCATTCATTGCATACTCAGTAATTAGTTTTTGACTAGAATTTCTAAATCATTAAGAATTAATTCACTCCAGTTAAGATCAGAACTCCTGGTGAAGCCAAATAAAAAAACCTCAGCAAGTCTTTCAAATGCCATATTCTTAAAGTGAATTCTTTCCAGAAGCATGAGATTTAGGAATCCACTCTACGAATGAGATTTAGGAATCCACTCTTTCTTTTGTTGTAAGAAAGATGAGTCCTGGCCACCTAGTGAAAAAGGTATTTCCATGCCTGGCTCTCCAGGGGTAGGTTATCTCAGCCTAAGTCAGACTTACTCCTCACTGCTCTGACAGCCAGAAGCACCAGATATTAAAGAAACCGAGTTTCTGCTCTCAAACCTCACGTAGCTCTTCTACCCTGACATCAGCTTTCCCTAAAGACAAAAATCACAAAACTTCCCCCACAAAGAACCTCAAACTCAGACTCGTGTTTAAAATGGCACTGTTTTCTAAAACTCCAGATTGTTCGTATTTCTTCCAATATATTTCTTTCAATACATGACTTCCAATAATTTTCAACATCATGCCAAGATCCTTAGCCTTCTCCTCACCAGAACTAGCACCAAAATGATGGACTACCTGGAAGCAATTTAATTTGTCATCTCCAGGCATTATAAAGACCAAAATATTGAAATGTGAAGTTTTAAGTTGAATGAGAGGGAGAGAGAAACAAAGAGAACTAAAGATTTGAACATCAATTTGACAGTCAAAAAACCAACAGAAAAAGAGCAGAAAAACAAGGAAAGAGGTTATGATTTTCATATGAAGTTCTGGCATTTAAAAACCCATCTTAGAGGGTGGCGCCTGTGGCTCAAAGGAGTAGGGCACCGGCCCCATATACCAGAGGTGACCAGCCCCAGGTGGCCAAACCCAGCCCTGGCCAAAAACTGCAAAAAAAAAAAAAAAAAAAGATCTTAGAAAAAGTAATGTGATGATTTTTCAGGTGAAAATTTTAAAAACATGTGAAGTACACAAATAAAAAATAGACAAGTAATAATATACATTAACATATCTTTTTTTTTTCTGAGACAGAGCCTCACTCTATCACCCAGGCTAGAGTGTCATGGTGTCAGCCTGGCTCACACCAACCTCAAACTTCTGGAAACAATCCTCCTGCCTCAGCTTCCCAGGTAGCTGGGACTACAAGCACATACCAAAATGCCTGGCTAATTTCTCTATTTTTAGTAGATTTGGGGTCTTGCTCTTGCACAGGGTGGTCTTGAACTCCTAAGTTCAAATGGTCCTCAAGCCTCAGCCTACCAGAGTGTCAGGATTACAGGCATGAGCCACTCAACCTAGCAACAATATCTTTTTAACAGGGAAAAATTATGAAAATTCTCAAATATAAAATATGTAAACTATACTAATACATATTTACACCTTTCTCCTAAAATGACCTAGTATAATTGATTAAGGGATCTACTGGCAATTTAACTTCTTTGAAAAAACAAAGGAAATTTCATTACAGGGTGAGGAATAGGGGGCTCTTGGGAAATTGAGGAAAACGAGGACACTGGGAGAAAGGCCCAGGGAGGGACCCCTGGGCATGAACCCCCTGAGATTTGGCCAGTTCCAAATATAAGCAAGGATCTAGGGTGAGAAAAAAAGAGAAAATGTATTGCCTGAACAGTCTGGCTGTCAAGGGACTGGGTTCAGTCACTCCACCTGGCACTCCTGATCTCTCCAGAGGGAGCGACATAGTTTTCCCTCTCTAATCATGCCCCCTCCCATCACCTGTCCCCCTCACCCCCGCCACACACACCTTGTTAGCACAACTTCTGAGATACAGTTCAACACATTTCAAAGGTACTTCAGCCCTGAGTTCACACGTTTCCTGGACTTCGGGATCAGCCCAGCCCAGCAGGAGACAGCCCCCACTCGCCTCTTTCAAAGCAAAATGACTTTAAAGGAGCAGAGACGCTGGGGATACAAGAGGTGGGCCGGATCCCCAGATTGGGACAGTAACCACCAGCTGGCCAGAAATCCTTCCAGACTTGGGAAGGAGGGAGGGCAAGGAGGAGAGGAGACGGGGAGATGCTCCCGCTGAGGCTTCAGGATGTAAAAATCAGAAGCGGCCGTTGAGGTAGTCAAGTGAAGGGTGGGAAGCCCAATCGCCCCGGGTTGCGGGCAGGGCCTGCGGAGCCTCTAGCTTCTCCACCACACCCGCTACAGCCCCTGCAGCCCGAGCGCGCGCGCACCCACACCCAGTCAGTCATTTCCCCACCCCAGACCCCAGTCCTAACCTAACCCTAGCCGAACGCTCCCCTCCCTCTCCGACCACCCCTAGGCCTGCAGCACTCTCCTCCCCGCCCGGCTCCCGGGCCCCGCCTTCCACTTACACTGAATGGGCGGGTAGCAACTGGGGTCCTCGCCGCCCGGCTGGCAGCGGCTGGAGAAGGCGCTGCGCGGGGTCACGTAGTTGCTGGGGAAGATGCCCACTCGCTGGTTCAGCTGCCCGGTCCACCAGCCCTCGTCGCCGGACACCTGCGAGTCCTTGGACAGCACTTCCACCACATCGCCCAGCCGCAGGGTCAGCTCGTCCTCTCCAGCCGCCTCGTACTCGAACACGGCCGTCCAGTAGGGCAGCGGTGCGTCCGAGCCCAGCTCCCCGGAGACCGCCGCCACCGCCTCCTCCTCTTCTTCCTCCTCCTCGTCGGCCCCGGTTCCCGCTCCGTCCTCCCCCGGCGGGGCGGCAGCGGCGGCGCTCGCCAGGCAGCCGAGAAGCGCTCTGGAGGGCTCCATGGAGCGGCCGATCCATAGGGTGCGGGGCTGCCGCCGCCCGCAGGAGCCGCCGCTGCCTATTGTTCATGCGGCTCCGCGGAGCTGGGAGGACCCTCCTCCTCCTCCGACGGTGGCCGCAGGTAGGGCCCGGGCTGGCGGGGCTGGGAGAGCCGGCTCGCCGAGGCTGGCGGGGCGACAAGTGCGCCGAGCGCGAGCGCTCACTGCAGCATAGTGGCGCGGCGGGCCGGAGTCCGCGCCTGCCC